AAACTTATTGAACTTATGACATGCTTTTCATCTACAGAGTGATTTACAAACATTAATTAATCAATGTTCAAGAATAGGTCCCAACCCAATACGGTATTCAGCCCAGGAATAAGGGACAAATCTTTGAGGCTCTCAGCCTAGCATACCTCCTAGTCTGGGAGGGGCCTGGGGAGAAAAACAGCTCATTACGTCAGCATTCCCTGTCTCTTCCGTTGAGCTGCGACTTGCTGCCTGTATTTAAAGGGTCATCCAGTTTGCTTCTCTCCTGACCACACCCTGCACAAGGTAAGTACCTGCTAAGGTACACCTAACCGGATTGTAAAGTGTATGTTTTTAGAAAGAGGAAAATTATTCAGCATTTCTGATGTTGTCTCAAAAACTATATTCCATATTAGGTTTTTTATTAGTTTCAGGTGTACAAAACAGCCTAGTGATTAGACATTTCTATACTTCACAAAGCGATAACCCCAATGAATCTATTTCCCATCTGACACTGTACATAGTTATGAGAATATTGTTGACTATATTCCCTATGCTGTACTTTACATCCCCATGACTATGTTTTTAATTATAGTTGATATTCAATATTATTTTATATTAGTTTCAGGTGTACAGCATAGTGGTTAGACATTTATATAATTTATGACGTGATCCCCCTGATTAGTTTAGTACTCACCTGACACTATACACAGCTTTTACAACATTACTGATTATATTTCCCATACTGCATTTCACATTCCCATGACTGTTTTGTAACGACCAATCTGTACTTCCTAATCCCTTCACCTTCTCTCCTAGACCCTAAGCCCCACTCCTATCTAGTAACCATCAGTTTGTTAAATTTATTTCCAGAATATATTATTTATCCACCAGAATCTGGAGGTTAGGTTAGCATACTATTTTAGTCAGGCTTCTTAACGAAAAATACGTATACTCCTGAGGAAACTAAAGGAAAACAAATTGCCCCAACAGTTGGCTGAGTAAATTAGTTCAAACAGCAAAGTATGTGTTTTAAGCATCATTTTCTCTGCCTAGGACTATACCAAAGCACTGTCAAGAACAGAATATTAAAAATAACGAAGGAAACAAATTTGTTTTTTTATAAAAATTATGTTGTTATGTAAAGACATGAAAGAAAGTCTAATAGCTACTATGTATGATTCATGAAAGAAAACCAATTTAATAAGAAGAAATAGAAAGCAAATAATCTCCAAATTTTAAGATAATAAAAAATTCAGAATTCTGATATTCTTTTTTCATTGTTCTCTTAATTATATGAAAAGCTTGCTATAAAAGGTAGACTGGGTTTCTTAGACCTGTGGTTCATTGATGTACGTAAACAGTAATTTCATAGAACTCAGACACTGGCACTCACGGGATGCAGAGTAAGACCTGGACAAACTAGTCTGTAGACATAAAGTCAAACTTACTAATTTGATGGCAATGAGATAAAATAAATAAAAGTGTTAAAAAAAACTAAGCCCAGTCATTATCAGATGTCTGACTTTCTCAGAAAATAAACTTTGAAATAATAATAATAATTGCATTGATTTATATAACATAATCTACTCTTTGCCAAGTAAGAACATTTGAAAACTGAACACAGTGAACTGGTATTTATACTCAACTCTGTCTCATCACATGGACATTTTACCACAAAAAAAAACAGAAGAAAATCATAATCTCCCAAATATTTCATAAATTATTCACGATTAAAAGCTTACCACACTGTCTGAATTTTTCTCATTTTTTCTGCTGAACAATGAGAACTTTATCGCAGCCCTGCACTTGGGAACCAGGAGAATAAGGCAGTGATTCTCAATGGAGCCTGGAGATGGGTCAGATTTCCAAGGGTCCTTTGTAATGGGAGAAAGCCAACTCAATGTATCTATTGTTTTAGTAACATCAAGTCCAATTAGGGAAGCTCAACACAATCACTTAGGCTGGTGAAAATACAGAAATAAATGGGAAAAGCTTTGCAGAGCGTGTGTGGGTTGTGAGAGATTATAAAACATTGTCTTGTACTAAAAATAGTCATCTCTGCAGCTTGCTCTAGAATCCTGGGTCTGTCAAGGACTGGGAGATGGTGGAATCCCACCATTTTCTTTGCAGATGAGTAAACTGAGAAGATTAGCTCAATAATGCCATTACAAAGCTGATGGGATTAGAATGGAACTCTTTAAAATCCTCAAAAGGAGGTCTGTGATGGTAATTTCTGTGTCAACTTGACAGGGCTTCGGGGGTGCCCAGATATGTAGTTAAACAATATTTGGGGTGCATCTGTGAGAGTGTTTCTGGATGAGATGGATGTTTCAGTAGCAGACTGAGGGAAGCACGTGGCTCTCCCCAGTGTAGACGGACCTCACCCCATCCACCGAAGGCCTGAATGAAAGGCTTGAGGAAGGAAGACTTTCCTCTGCGTGAGGGGCTTCGCCCTGGGGACATTGGACTTCTTCTGCCTTCACACTCAGACTCAGAGGACAGCCATACATGGCTTCTCCTGGGTCTGGAATTATTAGCCTTCAAACTTGTGTGTCCATTCCTTGTAAACTCTCTCTCATACATTATATACTGAACTCTAGGAAAATCTCTGTGGAATCCAATATGTAGTTCCACAGCCAATAAAGTAGTAATTATGGCATAGGGGGAGCATATAAAACTTGACATCGGAGATGGAGCAGAGACTGGTAATAAGCAGAGGCTTAGAAGCAACAGACTGACTCATGGGAGGTATGATTATGTTACTGCATTTGCAGCCCAAGTTGATTCCAGGTCACCTTCCACTGTCTGCGTTTGCTGTTAAAGGTGGCAGGCCTGCCCCCCTGTAAGCCACTTCTGGGTACAGTTAGAGAAGGGACACTGACCGGGAAGGATCACAGTGTGACAGAGGAAAAGAGGAAAAATGCCGCTGAATGTGAAGTGAACGTTACCTAGGCAGCCCACAGCTCATAGAAAGCGCCATATTTCCCCTTGTCCAGTGTCCTAACCCCTGCGCCCTCTTCTTCTTCTGGCTGTCCTGTGAGAAGTATGGAAAAGAGTTTATAACAGTCGTATCAGCAATATTCTTAGTCAATAGAATCCCTAGAAATCCTTCCTAAATGCCAAACTTGTGTACACATCACACAGAATATTCTCCCAAAATGGTCGGATGGAACCACCTTTGGTTCTATTCTTTAGTGTTTAGTGTCAAGAGTAGGTGGGTGACACATTTTTCTTGACGTTCTGGATTTTGACATAAACACAGGTTGATTCTGTTTCTATAGTCTTGGACACTTAAGGAAGTGTCGTAACTTGTCTCCTAGCAACCGGTGATAGCAGCCCCGTTTGTGTACGGCTCAGTAAGGATGCTAAAACTTGTGCTCATTACGTCCTCTGACCCTGATACTCCTGATACGGGGAGTTAATGGATGTGTCCAAGGCCTCAGTAAGAGTAGAGATTTGTCAGTTGAGAGCCCAAGCACACACTGTTTAATATTAATGCCAAATTATGTGCTGAATAATTTAGAATGCATTGGTGAAAATATAAATAATATGTTGGATTTATATAATATTAACAATCTTAATACTCACACGATTATGAGTTAGAACACACCTGCAAAGGGATAAGAATTACTGATGAGAGCTGGCTTGGCTTTGCCTCCCACACAAATGACTGTGTCTAATACATGTGAGCAGTGGAAACAAAAACCTCAGTCTCCACTGTGGGGACCAGGACACAAACCTCGTCTCTTGCCGAGTTGAGGAAACATGAAGACCGGGTGCTGTCACTCGTATGTCTGATCAATATGGATGCGTCCTGGACAGGCGGCTGTTAACTGTTAACATGAGTGTCCCAAGCAGTGTTTGCTGTGGCTTATTGGCTTTGCTCCATACAAGCAGTCAGACCTCACGGTGTGGGGAGCATGAGGCGCATTCATTTGCACTATGTCTGAGCTGTGAGAACTCATTGTCCACCTGCGGCTGACCTTGCCCGGTGTTTTAAACAGCTCGCAGATACTACAGAAATACAAATGACAACATCCAACTTTGAGGATTGTGCGATTTGAGGGTTGTAGGAGAGTTCAAACATTTTCACATAATTTAGAGGTCACACCATGTTAAGATGGCAAAACTAGTGTGACCATTTCCCACTCCTGGCTCCCAGGACATCAGACCTGATTGGCTCCCAGGACGTCAGACCTGATTGGCTCCCAGGACGTCAGACCTTATTGGCCCCCAGGACGTCAGACCTGATTGGCCCCCAGGACGTCAGACCTGATTGGCTCCCAGGACGTCAGACCTGATTGGCTGGGAGCTGGAGCATAAGAACAGGATGGGCCCCTCCAGGCTGTTTGCGAACACAGAACGGCACGGCCCATTCAGGACCCTGTCAAGTGCTGCAAAATCCCAGGAACTGGGACCACTAACAGGAATGAGTGCATCTTAGAAAAGAGTCAACCCATAAAAATCCCCCAGCCTTGGACAGTGTAGGATTATTTCTATAGCTGAAGAGAAGATCGGCAAAAAATATTTTGTCCAAAATGTCAAAAACCTGGTTAAATTATTTTGTTCTCAGATTTATTGTGTAAAAATAAGGCCACATACATTGATAATAATTTATAATTACCTGAGACTTATTCATGCAATGTTTTCCTTAGAAGAATACAGAATTGATTTAAAAATTAAATTTTACTGTGAGAAACTGCTTACTGCATACATATGAGAATTGTTGGATTATTTTAGGTGGGTGCTTATAGCTCCTCTTTACTTTTTCTGCCATAAGCACACTTTCTGCCCTTTTTATTACTGAAACTCCTAGAAAACTGAGTCGAGAACATGATATATATGGGGATATTACCGGGCACAAACATCTCTTCTCCCAACCTGATTCAGGAAGAGAAGCTGGTCACCTTTGGAATAGCTTTCATTGTTAAAGAATTCCAACTATAAACACATTATAAAATTTTACTTCCATGTAGGGTGAAAAATTTTAATACTGAAGTAAATTGCTTAGCGCATGTAAAATGTGCATTTTAGCTATGATAACTGCAACCTATTTCATATTTATCATCGTCATCAATGGGAGTTATTTATACGCTCCATCTAAGTCGCTTAAAAGCCACAGCAGTTACAGCTCCGTGGAGTAATTTGGCACCTTCTGAATGTGTGTAATCATGTGCAAACTTCAAAATTGAAAAGTGTTTAAAATTGTTTTATTAATGTACCATAGATATTTACAAGATTTTAATAATATACATTGTTTTTTTTCTTTCCAAACAAGTCGGTATTAAGAATGTATCTTGTGATGGGGGTTGGAGAGCTTATTTACAGAAGGATTTGCTTTCAAAAAACTCTAAAAGATTTATGGTTTTATTCATCGTATAAGGGGCTGGATAGCAAAACAGTAAAAATAGCAAAACAGTAAAAATAGCAAAACAGGAAATGGATGCTAGGTTCTAAGACTGGAACTCCTCTGGAACTCAAACCTGCAAAACAAAAAAATAAAACAAAAAACCTGAGAAAAAGTAAAAATACTTGTTGGATTAATTCTTCGTGACCCAAATGCATACTATGACTTGTCTCCTAATAATATATTTTAGAACACTTGTTTCATTTACATTATGCTTAATTTTAGGAAGTGTCTCTCAACTTCTGTCCTAGGATATCTGTTTCAAATTCAAAAATCAAAACAGAAAAATGCCCAAATTGACCAAGTCCAGGCAGATGAGTCAGCGATTCTTCTAAGGCATAAATAATACATTATTATTTCGTGCTCAATCACACTGATTGGTGTTACCCGCTTAGAACATTGTATCGAGGGTATGAATGCTGTGATTGACTAGTGATGTCTGCCACGGATATGGGAAGAGGTGTGTGTGTGTGTGTGTGTGTGCACTTCATATGAGCTCTCTCTGCTACCGGAAGCCTGTGGGTACCCGTGGAAACACTCCCTGGTTTTTGTCCAGTAGAATGAATCGTGCACCAATGACACAGTTGTTTTTGGGGGTTTTTTTGTTGTTTTGTTTTGTTTTTAGTTTCAAGTGAGGAAACATAAAGCTGTTTGTGATATGTAAACATGTTGCAAATTTGAGGGATTATTTAAAGAACAATTGACTCATTACTTCTTACTCACAATTGAAGATAGAAACACAGACCTTTCATTTTTCTCACCCAACATTTAAACAAAAATTGGAACAATTCGTAGAGCCCAGAATTCATGCTGCAGCTGTCTGGGACCCAACTCTGCAGCAGCAATGGTGACTCAACTTACTTGACATTTTTGGAATCCTAATCTCCTCGCTGCTGCTTCCATCGCCACCATCGCTAACTGTTCTTATTTCAATCAGGTAGTCCTCTTCGAAGGGGACCAGGAGCTCAGCCGACGTATTGTTAGTTTCCAAAACATGAGTTTTACTCTGTCTGTTTTGCCGGTACAGAATCTGAATAAAATAATGAATCAAGTTAAATGCACATGTGCCTTTCCTAAGGCTCAGACACTCTTAAGGCACACACAAGCCATGTCACTATACATGCCGTACTCCTAGGATGGAAATAGCCAATCTAGACTTCTTTTTACAGATTTTAGTGTAAAGGAAAAGACTTCCTTTTTGGCCAGTGCTTCTGAAATGAGAATAGATTTATCTCTAGTCATTAAACAGCTCAAGGCTATTATCTTTGGAGCTTGCTGTGAAAAGCCACTGGTTAGTTTGGACCTATTTCAAACTTCCGAGTATATGCGCTTTCCCAGAGATGCTGTCCATCACCACTGATGGAGATGCTCTGACCTGGGTATCTGACTATCGTCTTCTTAGATTCCCTTTATGTTGTTAAAAGATCACATCCTACCGCAGCTTACGTTCTAGAAATTCTATTTGAATAATATTCTTTGACCTCATTTTCTTACTTTTCTTACTTACTTACACACTTACTACCCACATAAGCCATCATCTTTTGATGGCCAGGCGAGTCGCTTGAAGAAAACAACCTTGTATACTATAGTGGTTTATTTCTTAATGCTCCGTGACATGTTACTAACCTCAGAATATAAAACTTTTCAATGAAGAATTTAAAAACAGCAATACTAAGTACTTTCAAAACATTTTTAAAGGAAGATTCCTATATTTCCATATGCATAAAATTTATTTCATAATTGGTTGTGACATTTCTGGTTCTTTAGTAACTTAATTGATATGATTAAAGGAAAAACTAAATAAGCACCTTGTAGCCCAGCACTTCAGACTCATTTTCCATGGTTTTTACATGTTCCCAGTTCAGACATAATTTAGAGTTTGTCAGCTTCCAGGCAATGTTAGCTGGTGGTTGGCTCGGAGCTTTAAAAAGATAATCAAAGATCCAAATGAATATTAATTAGCACATGGTTATTATATGACCCATCAACATGAAAAGGGATAATGAGTCTTAGATGATCATCATGGAAGGAGCTAAAATGTTTTCAGTGTCATTTGAAACATTAATTCTAATCAGAATAAGCAAAATCATTTAAATTCAGATCGTCTGGGAATGTCTTTGTGAGAAACGTATGAATTAATAACGCTTTGCTGCCTGTCCAGTATTCATTTGTTAATCATTGCTGTTGAGTTTGTTTACTTTGCCACATATCAAAAGACAGAGGGCTTCTTTATCTAGTGGTCCATTTGGCCATCAACCAATACACATGTCAAACAAATTCAGGCTACAAACCTTTTATACATATTAACACAGAGGGGTTCATTCTCAGTAGTCTTTTACTTTTTAATCACATGTGTTTTAGGACTTTCTGACTTTTAACACGACCAACTCAAGGTATTTTAAGCAAACTCTTCATTGTAAATCACCAAGGATGAAGGGAATCTTTTAGAACTCATGGCAGGATTCAGCACAGCCTCAGGAGAGAAAGAAGAAAAATGTCAAAAGCCAAGGTGGTCCTCTCCTGCCTCTCAGCGCGGTGTTGGCAGCACTTGTCTTGCCGTAGACCACCTCTTTGCCATTCTTCATGCACGTGGCAGGAAGCACGACTGCCCGCCACACCTGAGGTTTGAAGCCCCCTCTGTTCAGAGCTGGTTCAGGCTGGAATTCTCAGGAGAAAGCTAACGATTGGTTCAATTTGGCCACATGTCTATCTTAGCCCAACCAGTGGTGGCTCGATAGAAAGATATAAACAGAGCTGTTGGGAACCCAGAAAAGGGGAAAAACCTAGCAAACTGGGTGATCTTGCCAAAAGGTGTCTACCCTGAATCCAAATGGTGGTTTCTAGTTCTAGGAAATTAATGTTGTCTGGGACAAAGGTGGTGGGAAGGAAGTCGGGAAGGCAGACTTTGAATCGTCCTTCCAACAAAGGTAACGCATTTGTTTAACTGGAGAGTTTCCACACAGCAGACCTGGAGTGCAGGTTGGGAGGCCATCGATCCCACAGCGGCCGATGAGCAGCTGAGGCAAACCAGAATCCGGGCCTCATGGTTTGCAATCCAGTGTTTCTTCCTGACAACAGGCTGCTTCTCAAAGACGTGAGGCATGATTATTGTTAAGGTTTAAGAAACTGGCGGCATTAAAAATAATTCAGCTGATAAGTCCAGTAACCATCGGGACTTATTGGGGGGGGTCACTTCATAGACGGTGTAGAACCCTGACCACTGTGCTATACATCTGAACCTGAATAATATTGAATGTCAACTATAATTAAATAGATACAGATATAGATATAGATATAGATATGGTCACGGGATGTAAAGTACAACACAGGGAATGTGGTCAATGGTATTATAAGTTATATATGATGTCAGAGGGGTAGTAGATTAGGGGTTATCACTTTGTGAGGGGTGTAAATGTCTAATTATTACATTGTTTTGTACACCTGAAACTAATAAAAATAATGATGCAGCTGGAAAGCAGAGGCAAAGGTCAAACCACCCAGCAAGATGTTTCTGGCTACTTCTTTGCTCTGTGAGGATAAATGAGCATAGTGTTTGACTCATTATAACACTAGTGGAAACGGAAACAATTTCTTTTGGAATTTTGACTCAACTGCTGTTTAATCTCTTATGTATCACTGGGAGAGTGACAGGGTGCCTGACATGGTGTAATTATACGTCCCCAGGCTTACTGGGACCTCACTAGGGTTCATCCAGTCACTGCCACCTCCGTTGGGATAGAGCAGAGAGAGAACGGTTTGCCCCTATGCTCCCCTGGGGCTCAGTTCATATTTGATTATGGATTTATCACATTGAATTGTAGTTATTGTTGCTGTTGTGGTTCTTTACATTTATAGAGGGGTGTGCCTTGTTCAATTCCGTATTCCCAACCCCTAGGACAGAGATCTGCACATCGGAGAAATACATTTATGCTGAGGAAATGCCTGTGCGATAAAATGGCTGAAGAAAACTACTCAGGGTCCTGCATGGTTTCCTCAGGTCATGTTAATTATGTTCTGGGCTGTGAGCAGATCCATAGGTGACACAATATGGCCAGTCCATTCATTATGCTGTCCCATAATCAAGGCTAATTGCCATGGCCAAACCTACGGCAATCCATATGGATGTATGAGACAGACGGACAGGCCAATTGGATTGACCCAAAACATTCCTTGACTATATAAACCAAATCAATCATAATTAAAGGCTTGAGAGCGTTCCACTTACTAAGCGCTCTATTCATGCTTGTCAATACATTTATTTCTGAAGGACTGGATGGCAACAATAATAGTTTTGTAATTATTCTCCCTCAAATTATGCAAGTGTGCTGTTTCTAATCTTTTTCTCAGCTATAAAAGACATAATATAAAAATTCTTACAAGATATCACAGCTTTAATATCTAACATACTCTTGTGATCCATTTCTTTTATCTCTGTTCTTCAAAATGAAGCACTAACGTTAACATCATACGATCAATACAGAGAAAATATCAATTCACTCTGATGTCACTGGCAGTGATGGATTCTGGAGGTTCCGGCTACTGCTATGCCTGTTGGGTCTTTTTGTTTGTTTGTTTGTTTAGATAAAACTGTTTCCGACACTATGACTCCATTGCAGAAGCCCCAGGCTGGGACAGAGGCCCGGCTTCTGCCCACTACAAGGCAGTGGCTGTACCCATGGCACTGAGGCGTTGGCATTTGTTTCCTCCCTTATCAAAACCAAGGAAGGCATTCCAGGGGCATAAAGGGAGAGGCGTCCTAGCGGGAATGAACTCTTGGTCTGAGTGGCAGCTGTGTGGATTCCTTACAACGCTCTGCCTCTCTTTCTGTCCGGGAGGTGGAAAGAGTCAGGCTCTGAGGTCAGAAAGCCTTGAATCTGCCTCCAGTCTCTTCCAAGAGACCTGATTTCCCATCTTTGGAATAAGACTAAAATCTTCTACTTTATAAATCCTTAGCTGACACGAACTAAAATATGGGATGTCCCTCACTTGGTGAGTGGCACCTATTAAGACTCTCAATATCTGTGAGTTGTCTCTGAGAGTGGCAGTTACCCACTGTGTTGTTAGGACATAATTAATTTTTCAATTGTGTTCAGAGTGGTTTGTTACTAATAATACAGTTCCAAAGCCTGCATATGAGGCAGTTCTTATATATAATGAGCGTATCTTCAAGATTCCCCCTTCATAATATTGCTGTTACATGGGTCCTCTATGTGCCTTTTGAAAAGGCAGGTCAAGTGGTGGAGCCTCAGATAGTAACCTAGGAAGTTTGCCTTGTCTACAGCTCTCCTTTCTTTGTCCAAAATCCAATGGCTTTTGTCTAGTATTTTTTAAAGTTTCTCTGAAAGTTGCTTTGAAGGCAATCACCTTAATATCAATACTGTTCACAGTTCCAGTTCCATGAGTTTTATGTACCTGGTTAAAACTGAACTGCAGGACCAGCCGAGTGGCACATTGGTTAAGAGCTGGCTTGGGATGCCAGAGGGCCCCGGCTCGGATCCCACATATGAAGGCCAGTGACACTGCCCTCCACAGCTAAGATGCTGAACAACAGCTCAACCTGGAGCTGGGCTGCCGTGAGTCACTGGCGACGACATAGGCTGCAGCCCCTGCTGCAGTGGGTTGCCATGGGCTACCGTGTGTAGCCAGCAGCCAGCGTGAGCGGCCAGCAGCTGCCGTGAGCGGTCGTCCAGAGGCCGGCGACTGATCTGCCTCGCCCGGGAAGAGCACAATGATGGTGCCAACTTGGGCCAGTGAAGCAACGTCCTCCACAACTAGACTGAAGAACAAAAGGACAGCAACTTGTCTGTTCCCCTTCCCCCAACTCCCCAGTGCTGTTCCCATCACCCAATTCCCCAATAAAAATCTTAAAAAAACAAAACAAAAACTGAACTGCAAATATCTGTGATAAAACCGAAATGTCTGTTACCTTCAAAAACCAAAACACTGTCAAATGGATAATATGAGACATGTGCCAAGGCTGTTTGCACCACGTTGGCCCAATGGTAAACTCAACACAAGCACTTTTCTAATTTTAAAAATCTCTTCAGGCAGTTTCCAAAGACTGAATCATTTTCTATTAATCAAGTGACAGAGCGACATTACACCAGCCCTCCACCACCCAATGGTTCCCCTGTGATCAATTTTTCTGGAGATGGCATTTATATTCAACTGTGGTTCACACTGTGAACTCAATTCAAAAAAACAACTTCTTATGTTCCCCTTCTAAGGAACAGCATGAGGCTGACATTTGGGCAAAAGAGAAAGAATGCAAGTGCAAGATGAACTAAAAGCTTAATGCTCCCTTTATGTCTAAATATGGATTGATAACATATTTACAACCAGAAAAATCCAGTGTGGAGTGCTAGTCAGTCAGTGTCAGGGGTCAGACTGAACCAGCATTTGCAGACACTTTCTGTGGCTGGGCCTGAACACTTCTTTCTGGGTAAGCAGTGCTTAGTATTTTCTTTTCCTCTTGGAATTGATGTAAATATTTTGTCTCCTTTTTGCTGTAAATCTGAATCCCATTTAAGAGCTGTCTGTGTGGATTGTCTATCTGCAGCGCCCCTCGGCTGCCTTTGAGAAGACGACATTTTCACTGACGGATGACACTTACAATATTTACTAGGAAAAAAAAAAAGGTATCATCATGGCCAGCGACAATCCCAACAAGGACTCCAGAAGCTTTGCATCACTGTTCCTTCTGTGTGGAGGCCCCTTTGTCCACCGGCTCCTTTCTGTCTTTCTACCATGTCAAATATAAAGCCTTCCCTATATAGGCTCCTTCTTATGTATTCCATATCTCAGCCTCTTGTCTTCTTCGTGGTGCTTTTCAAAACTGATGATGATTCCATGTCTTTGTTGTTCCCTTGTATTAACTTGCATCCCCACCAAAAGAGAATGGCCCGAAGGCAGGGACCTTGCCTGTTGTGATCTCCATGTGGCATCTAACCCAGTCACGGCTCATGTACTGGGCGATAGACTGAATCATCATATTTTTTTTGGGGGGGGGAACCAAAAATAAAGGCTCTGTCTTCTGCTTAGTTAACCCAGTCAGAAGGAGCAGAGATTTTGGTAAATGTGAACTCTGCTGCATCAGAATTTACAATGGATGATCAAATATCAGACTGAAAATCTAGACAGAGTTGCTGCTGTCACAACTGTTCCGAGGTCATCTTCATGGCATCTCTAGGACATGAAGAATCAAAGTTAGATCCAGGGACAGCACTTGGAATCAGAGCTACGTTCAATGTCATCAAAGCCATTTCTCATCTTGGCCTTGGATGTCCTTCCATGACCCTTGGAGAAAATGTCTGAAACACACTTACACAGAGAAAGAAAGTAGAAAGCAGCTGTGCTTTCCTACTCTAAGAAATGCAAAGACAGTGACATCACCTCTAGATGAGCGATCTGGTGGCCCGTTAGCATGCACGGAGCCCTGGCTGTATGGCAGCCCCTGGTCACCTTGGTGTGCATTTTGTCCTTTAGTCCGCAGAGCGAACTCTAGAAGAAAAGATGGTCCTGTGTTTTTCATACGAGAAAATGGGCTCTGAGTCATCAAGGTATTCGACTTGTCACACCGATGGTTCATGGTCGAGTCGAGATCACAACCAACTTTCTTTCACTCTGAAGTCACTTTCCAGCTCTTTCTAACCCTACCTAACAATAAGCCAAAGCTGTGGGAATGCCTTGAATGATGCAAATACATTAAAGGGGAAGTTTACAGATCAGCAGAAAAGACATCAGCCCTTTCATAGGCATGGCGGGAGCACTACAAACTGAGAGAACGCATGAAGTCGGACACAGGCGCGTGAAGGTTCAGAAGATCAGCAAGTCTGGGCTGCCAGGGCTAGATGAGGAATGGGGCACAAAGGGAGTCTGGGAAAGACCTGGAATGACCCGCTTTACCTTTCTCTCCCTCATGTCCTCCAGCACAGAGGAGACAATACCATTTTGGCATTCGAAGAGGTAGGATTCCATTTTAGGAAGAAACATGTTGAGGCAGTTTGAGGTTTGGACTGAAGATTTGACAGCCTGGAGGGAGAGAGACTTCAGATGGGCAGAGGTGAAGACTGCAAAGCCGCATGGTATTTGTGGGGTGAAGATGATCGAGAATCCGTGTTCACAGCAGGTCAGCCTAACCGCCGCCACAAGAAAACCTTTCCAAGCATTTGTTTTTCTACCATGTAGGAGCTGAAATACCAAACACCTTGATTTGCTTTAATAATTGAGATAATATTATGGTCTGGGACACAGAAGTGCTCAGTATTTTGGAACTGTAGTCGGCAGAACAAGGGCCCCCCAAACCTGTCCAGATCCCAGCTCCCAGACCCTGTGGCTGTCACTTTCTATGGAAAAGGGACTTTGCAGGCGCGATTAAGTTAAGGATCCTGAGATGGGGAGAATATCCTGGATTCGCCAGGAGGATTCAGTGTCATCACACGTGTCCTTGGCGGGGACAGAGGGAGGCAGGAGGGCCAGAGTGGGAGGAAATGTGATGACAGACGCAGAGGCTGAGTTGGAGCGAGATTTGAAGACAGAGGAACAGGCCACAGGCCACGGGTCTCCAGAAGCCGGAAAAGACAAGGAAACGCTGTCTTCTGCAGCCTCCAAAAGGGGCCCAGCCTCACCTACGCCTTGGTTTCCAAGCCGCGAAACTCATCTCTGACTTCTCACCTCTAGAAATGTGTGGTGATCAATCTATTGTTTGAAAGCACCAGCTTGTGGGAATTCGAGCAGCAACATTAGGAGACGAAAGCAGTGTGTATTCCATTTTCACAGTGCCAGCGACACGGAATGCTAAAATAATGAAAGCAGAGGCTTGACTTGTATTCCAACACGATGAGATGGAGACACGCAGAGGCTTCTGCTTCTCAAGTCCTTTAGGTCATTTTGGTGATGACACTGAACCATAGGGCCATTGAAAGCCCAGTTTAAGAAATACTGGAACAAGTTTTCCAGAAAAGAAATTAGGAATCACAAGGGTTTTTGCTTGCTTAATTTGGTCAAGAAAGGGGATGCATGCTAAAGAAACATGGAACTTCACTTAAGTTTTTCTGTCTCCCACATATTTTTCTCCATATTGCAGCTCTCGCTGAGTCCTGTCGGGTCAGACCCTTCCCCAGTTATCACTGTGTCTCACTGCGGAGCATGTGCGCGTGATCAGGCTCCCCTGTGGGACAGAGGCAGCGACCATCAGCTGCCCATCCTTTAGTGGGCAGGCCCTGCCTCTGACAGACACGTGGCTGATCCTGATGGAGGCCTGGGGAAGCACAGGAGTCCATGCCTGGGTTTCAGGGGCTCCCAGGTAACTACAGTGAGGAGACACCCTGGAAGGAAAGAGCTAGATGACCCAACAGTATCGTGCCACAGCTCACTCTGGAACTCAAGCACTAAGCAAAACAAAACCAGACCAAACACCGCTCACCGAGCATTTACTGAAGCCTGTCCAGACCGTGGCTATCAGTTATCCCTTCCAAACTGAGCAGAGCCCTGGGAGGAGCTACGTACAACCTGTTCTTTATTTCGTAGTTGAAGATGTTGCGACTGAAGGAAGAGATAACCACGGGGCATCCCAAGGCTGGGAGAGGGTATCGGAGTCTGCGTCCTTAAACACTGCACTTTCCTGTCTTCATCTCTGTACTCAGAGTGCTTCTCTTTTGGAATTCCAAAAATATCAGAGCAGTTTATTTTCGTTGTTACCAGAAAGTTTTCATATTTAAGGGACAATTATCCATATTGAAGGGACAAACCACTCAACCAGACAAAGCGATCAGTGACATAGTGAGGTGGGAGGGGTGAGATGGGGCCTGCGCAAAGGCGTATGTTTCTGTTCACAGATGCGTCTTGGTCCCTGGGGTGGGATTATACTTACGAGACTTTTTGGTGGTGACATTGACGGGGGGGCTTGAGGGCCCTGTCCCGCCAGTGTTGTAAGCTCTGACAGAGGCAAAGTAGATGGTGTTAGCCCTCAGCCCTGTGATGGTCTTGGCTGTGACATTTCCACTGACTCGAATCTTACCAATCATGGGTTCTCTGGAGTCATCTGTCCAGTATAAGACCTGGTCATTAAAAGAGAGTGAACAGTCATGGTTTCCCAGCAACCATCAACCACAGCAGGGCAGGGAAGAAGGCAGCAGCATACATGGCAGGATAGCTTCTGATTCAATTGGTTATAGGAGGTCTGACAATTAAGTCTGCGAACTTAATCATCTGCCCTTGTCCAACAGCAAGATATAGTATTTATAGTGAAGAAATAAAAAATACAAGTTCACAGTGGAAATTAGAGAACTTGGGTTTGTTTAGATTACCAAAATAATACACTTCATGAGATATCTAAAGCTTATCAGCTTTAACGAAGGGTATATAATATGTCAGACCAAGACAAGATTCATGCGTCAATCAAAGACTTCAGGTCTGATGTTTTGCTATTGGCATTTCCTCCAGAGTGCTCTGAATGCCAGGTGGACCGATAATTCAGCTGTGCCGCGCCCTTCCTGTGTGTCAGCACTGTGTAGGCACTCTGAGAAAGACAAGGGAAGAGAGCCCGCACCTGCCTTCCAGCCCCTTCGAATCTAGTTAAGAGGCTAGAACACGTGAAAAGAAAGCGGAGGGCACATTTCAGGGAACAATACAGAAAAACAATGCTCTCAGAATCGGAAGAAGCGACGCTGGGCAGCGGTTGGAGGGCAGTTCAGAGGGGAGGGCAGGCTAGGGATGAGCTTCGAGCAGTGAGCAGGGTTCAGGTGAGAGGCGGGGCATTCTCGGCTTGGAGGGCACAGGCACCTGTTGGAGGCGCGCAGCAAAATTAGGGGACTTAGAATGGTACTTTTATTTTAACTCCAAAATAAAGTGACCTGTGTTAGCCATTCCTAAGTCTCGCCCATCAGCTTTGTGGGAACGAAGGCCCGTAAGTGTGAGGTGGTTTGCTCACTGTACATAGGCTATGAATGGATTCAGGAGAATTCTGGGATCCCCTTATTGCTGAACTGCCTTTTCCAGATGACCTCTGCAAGTCGTGCTCCAGTGCACAGAGCATTTTTCCCAGTGAAATTCTCGTAAGGTTTGAGCTCCCTGAGGATGAGACGTTCACCTTTCCCCAAGAAACAAATCGGCCTGCCATTTGAACAGTTTAATGAGCTACCCTCCTGATCGCTGTTTAAATGCTACCCTCTGGAGCTGTGCTGAAGGTCACCTGGGAAGGTCCCTGCGCGCACACCCCTCTGGCTTTAGACAGACACGTTAGCACCCAGCCCTGGGGGGCAGGACAGGCCTGCTGACCGGGAGCCACGCGTGGGCGGCCGGAGCTGGAGGGGAAGGGAGACCCGCGGCCTTACCTCGTAGCCTAGCACCCTCCCGGTGTTTCGGTTCCAGGCTATGGCGTTCCAGGAAACCTCCATTTCCGAGGCAGAAGAACTCTGGACAGCAGTTCCCCTGGGGGCCAGCTGAGGCTCTACCATCCAGAGAAAGACACAACGAGCTTTAGTGGCGCGGTTCATGGGCAACAGAAGCAGCCCACGCGCGGCCCCGGGAGCCGTCCTGTGCTGAGCCCACTCACCGTCTTCCCCCGAGTAGATGACAGACATGGCGCTCAGGGCCCCTTCTCCTTCCGTGTTGTACACCCCGACTTTGACTTCAAAGGGAGAGAGAGGCGCGACGCTTTCGTTTCTGTAAACGAACCTGGCCGAGTCCACGGATGGCACCCTTTCCTTGGTCCAGGTTGTTGAGCCGACCGGCCGTAACATGACCAGGTACCCAAACTCGCCTCCGTTCTGCAGCTCCTCTGGAATGGGCTTGGGCAGAAGGGAGCAGTGGCTGAGCACGCGCGCAGAGAGCCCACGGGCCAGTTATTACAATGCCTACCCGTGACCTGGCACATCTTTTGTAGAGAGAAACATGGATATTTATCCTGTTTCATGAAGTATTGAAAAAAATAACAATGCTTTTATTTGGAATGCCAATTAGGAAACTGGTCCCGATTAAAGATACTCAGATAAATACAGGAAAGTTTTAAATAGAAATGGAAAACAGGTTTTACATGTTTATATTTCTTTCCATGATTACTCGTAAGTTATAATAATAAAGTGGTTTAGAAGACTGCAAGATTTAATAAGTTAAAACATATTTTATATTCATATGTTGATATGCATATCTAAGCTCTGCACAAAATTAACTATTTCAAGGCTAGCTGTGTTTTCCTTTTACAACATTTTCCTACAAATCCTTGTAAGAATACAGGCAATATAATTATCGTGTAATAATGTTTGTTTTTTAAGACATTGAATAATATTACTCAAACCCCAAAGTATAAGTGACCTCCCAGTATTTTTAAACATGTAGCTTCATCACTAGGAACATTGGTGGAAACTCTTCCTGACATGAAAAAAAAAATTACTTTGTTAATTCCCTCAGAGACCAAGTTCTTTAAGGCTCATTTAAAACCTAAACTTATTAAAATGACTAAACAAAAATAGATACAAGTTCCCCAGAACACTACCGATATTAAACATTATAATCCCATAAGTGAAATTGAATTTGTGCTTGAATTTAGACAAATATTCTACCTGTTTATGAGAAAATTGTATTTAAAAATCCATGGACTTTATTTTGCTTTTCCACAGGAAAATGCTTTTCTTTTCTAACAATTTCACAGACTAATATGAGGTTGTCCTTCCCCAGCCCTTGTCCCCACTCCTGTGTCACATTTTCCTGTGACACGGACCACACCTGATCCCCCAGCAGTGGGTACCAGCGCCTACGGCGCCATCTCGGCCAGACCTGTCAGATAGTCTGGTGCAGAATCTCTGTGTTCTGGAGTGACTGACAGACCCAAGCAACCCCTCTCCCTCCAGAGGTGGACTATGAAACGCAGGTGTGTGGGGGTAACAATGGGTAACCTCAGAGCAGCTGTGGGTAGAAAGCAGACAGCGGTCGTGCTCTGAAGCAGAGGGAGCTAAGAGAAAAGGAGAGCTGCACGTTACAGAGAGAAAGAGGAGGAATGCAGCTGTCGGCCATGCGGAATATGGGACGTCCAGAGAGTGGGAAGAGCCAGGGCACACGCACGCGGGACTGTGGGCGCCCACGCGGGATGACCAGAGAGGCCGACCGCAGACCTGGGCGGCAGAGCTCAGAACGGGGGTGGCGGCTGTCCGCTGCTTCGTGTGACCTGCCTGCTGGTCGCTCAGGCACCCCCATCCCCACCGCCCCCGACGCAGCCATAAAATGAATCCCCACGGACAAAGGTGACCTGCGTGGGTCTCTGCTTCTTGCCACATGGAACACCCACACTGAAAAGGGGAAGAGAGCCGGGAGAGAAGATGCAGCTTGGAGCAACACGTCTCAGAATCAACACAGGAAGTTTCAACGGTGTGGAAGATTTTGATGAGAATGTGAACGTTTTTGATGCTTCTCTGATCTTGGGTTTAATCAGGATGGTTAGTTCATCCAAGAAGGTGGGGGCCTTTTGGTTTTGTTAGTCAGATCCAATTAGTGTTCCTCACAGCGTTCCCGCAAGAAAGATCTAACGTGTAGTTTAGAGGGAAAAAAGACTTATATAAGTTCTTCCTTTTATTCTTCTCATATGCACAGAGAGCTAGATGATTGAGAAATACAGACGGTGCCAAAACTTGTATACATATTTTAAGAAAGGAAAAAACTGTATTAAAACTACACTGATGGAAATCACTTTGAGCACCTCTTGTAATTGCAGAAGTCAAACGTGACTTGTATTCATCTTTTGTTATGGGTATATATCGAGGATTACAATTTTAATACAGTTTTTTCCTTTCTTAAAATATGTATCCATTTTCTGGCACCCTCTGTATAGATAGCTGTTTAAGATGGCCAGAAAGAGCGTTTTCTCCTTGAAGCAGAGGAACGGTTTGGTAGTACGAAGTAATTCAGGAATTATTATGGTGGTGAAATCTATTAAATTAAATAAAGACTAATAATTCAGATCTCAACCACAGTGCCTATAAGAACTAAATCTTTAGGACACCAAGAGTCAGCAAACTATGGCCTTCAGCTCAAACCTGACCTGTGGCCTCATTTGGAAAGCGAAGGTTTGGGGAAACACAGTCCTGCCTGTTCATTTGTATGTGGTTTATGGCTGCTTTTGAATGACACAGAAGGGTTGAGAAGTTGTGAAAGAACCACGTGTTTGAATATTTTTCCTGGCTGGCTCTTTACCTAAAAAAAGGTGTATCGAGTCCCAGTATACCCATGCCCGACTCATAGTACTTCATCCTACGCCTGACTTCATAGTCATATTTTCTATGAGGCATTCACCACAAGCATCTTAAACTTAGAAGTATTTGGGAGCATACATTAGGGTAAATATGGATAAACATACCCTTAAAAAAGGAATTAGCAGACACTACACCCCAAAAGTTAGACTCCATGTCTAAGTTATTGGAAGTAAAACAAATCAGCACAAAACACACAGCGGTTCACGGCACCCCAGAACTATTCCAGTAGTCACGTCACAGATCGCTGATCACAGATCACCACAGCACATACAATAATCATTGAAAAGTGGAGATATTGCGAGAGTGACCAAAGCGTGACACAGAGACTTGAAGTGAGCAAGCACTGTTGGGAAAATGGCGCCGACAGACTTAACTCAGGGCTGCCACAAACCTTCACCTTGTAAATAACTCAACATCTCTGAAGAACGATAAAGGGAAATGCAATGAAATGAGCCATGTCTGTCCTCCAAAGGGCTAACCTAAGTACGCTAACATCACTCACAGGTGCAGGGAATCGCTCAGCAGCCGGCTTCCCAGGCCTGGCATGACTGGCATTTGGGGCCAGACTTCTCCTTGGGGGGCACTGTCCTGTGCATTGGATCCTGACCTCCACCTCCACCCAGATGCACCCCATCCTCTTAGGCATGACAACGGGACACCTGAGGGATGAATTCCCCGCCTCCCGGCGAGGGCCACTCTTCACACTCAGCCATGATGATCTTTAATTAAAACACACACAGCTGTGATGTTTTAAGGTGGGACATTAAAACGCGCCCAGAAGTGGATGTGTGGGCAGTAGGAGAGTTCTCACCACAGGGTCAGAATCATGTACACAGGGCAGGGGAATCAGGTGGGACTCTCTTCTCAGGGACAGCTGATAAGAAGGGTATGGAGAACTCTGAAGTCCAGATGTGAAACCATTTCTATGAGAGCTGCCTGACACGACAGCCTGTCAGCCATGGTAAATGTCTACAAAGGGAGTGTCGGTTTGTTTAGCGAGAGACTGATAGGAAAATAGTTCTTTGGGAGAGTTGTAGAAAAAGCTGTGCATTGCCACCCCTCCAACAGGGGACGTAAGGGGCTATGTCTCACCTGTTGCCTACCTAAGTGAGGAGGCTTCAGCAAGAGCCGCATGGAATTTGGAAGACACAGGTTCTTTTCACTGATACCTGCCCGAGAAGCTTGTGAAGGGGAGAGACATGTACACAGTGTGTGGTGGCAGAGAAGAAAGGCCAGGTGGGCACACACTGCTCTTCCACCAAGCACGGAGCAAAGGTGCGTGTTTGCCAAGCACAGGTATGGAGCCTGTCCTGAACGGACTCCAGCCACAGAGAGCGCCTACAGGGACAGAGGACTTCCAGCGGAAGATGCTGGACGTGGGCACTGGAACCCAGGAATGAGGAGTTTTCAGCAGCCAGCTGGGGCTGCACCAAGGAATTCCAGCCAGAAGTCCCCAGTGGGATCCAAGAATATCTCCCACCCCCACCAAGAAAAGAAAACCAAACAAACCCCCCATGAAACCCCAGCACCCGGTTATATGCCATCTCGGAGTGGACCAACGTCAGGTTACACCGGTCCCAGCAATCAGACTTTCTATCCGGCTCCTCTTCCCCCGAGCCCCATCTGCCCCAACCTTGGAGTTAGTTGCTAGAGGTCAGATGGTGAACAGGGAAGAAGAAATGGAAGAGCAAACGGGAGAAAAAGTAAAGCAAAGCGGAAGGGTTTAGAGCACAATGAGAGGAAGATAGCGGGCTTCACCTGCACGCTGCTGGGTCCAACTCACGTGCAAACAATAGTTTCTGAGGCAGTGGAGAAAATCGTGGCATTCACCGAGTAAGGATGGAAATGCCCCTGACCCCCTGCCGCGGACACTGAAGTTGTTTTCTTCTCGGTGGAAGAGAACTGTGCCGAGTTAGTCATATCCCTCACTATAGGAGAAAGAGGAAAGGTTTCCAAGACCTTCTCTAAATAATGCGTCATCAGGCGTCTTTCATGCCATGTGCTTTTTTTATACTCTCAGTAATGATCAAATAAATCTTTTTGTTTTTCAGCATTCTTCCTGGCCTGCTAAACCTTTTTCCTTCAAAATAACTCATTTGGACAGAAAATTACCTCCCACGTGATGACGAGTTCAGAACGACTTCCTCCACCTCCATTGATGTTTGTTGGTGCCACGACAGGGACTGAAAACAACCAAGAGAAACGTAGGGTGGCAGTCATGAAAGTTCACCTTTATCAGGAAGCTTTGTTTGTGGAGTTCACCTTTCAAAATCTCATGCGGGCATGCTGTGAGAGAGGCTTGCGTTTTTAATGAACATAAATTATGTTTACCCAGATCCAAATTTCTAAGAGGACACAGCCGTGTGATACATGAGCACCCCGGCTCCAAAATTAATTAAAAATCAAGTAACATCATGTATCTGACATTATTATGCATCATCGACTAATTGGCAAAATGATGTTCCTTCCATTCAGATGGTAGCAGGGACATTGCTGATTTAGTACCTAATTATACAGTAGAAAGCAAACTTAAACTCTGTTTCTTTTTGTTAGTCATCAGGATATTTTTCTCATTAAATTCTGAAAAATATATGCGTAAATAAATGAATTTCTGTTTTGTAACCCCGTTTGAATCCCAGATCTCTCAGTACAGAACAGACGGACCCTTCCTCTAATTTTTCACACCCAAATCAAGAAGACGGTCTCCTATCAGGGACCTGATCGAGGGCTGTCTCTAACTCAGGACTCTAAGGCTCTGTGGTAGAACATTCCAGACACTGACCATTTTCACGAATTAGAAAAGCATATGCCCTTCAACTATATCCTTGTGAGCAATAGTATAATGAATAATAAATCATTTGAGGTAAATTACAAGATTGATTACAATTGTGAGTATGGGTATTGCAGCGTATAATCAGAATTGACTTTTACCTTATACACGGAAAAGTGTTAAAAAATCTTCTTTCTCCTGATAATGGCAAAAGTATCCTAAATCTGTAATAATGTGTGAACCTGCAGGATATTCTTTTTAAATGTTGCATTATATGCAGTTATCTATATCAGACCATTGTTGATCAATATCCAGAGGTGGGTGGAGTGCCTGGGTACGTTTGTTGCCTGGTGGGTGGGAAGTCATATATGTGAGGTTTAACTGCTTGTTTCAGAATTCCCTCCCACCATGGAGACCATGTAGGTAAATCTAGACTACTTATTTTATTTATTCCAATTTCATACAGGCGTTCAACTTTATAAATGACATAGTTACATAATAATCTGATTGTAATAGTACATGTCAGACATCCATTTTCATATTCAAACTTACCCTAACTTTGCCTGCTTTGGTCTTCATAATTTCTTTAAAAGATTGCCTCATGCCTACACCCTCTGTTCTAAGTTGTCCAGTGCCCTGGAATGAATCACAGTGGGTTCTGCAGTGGCAGGTTTTCTGGTGATCAACAGCTCACCGTGACACGACTTCAGGACCATTAAATAGTTTAGATCCATAAGGAAATCATTTAAAATTATACTTTCATTTACTCTTCGCAGAGTTTTCAGTGTTCTGGGTAATAAGGTTCCTTCCTTTATTCAATTTTCCAATGAAACATACTAAAGCTAAAACTATATTGACAAGAACTGTCTTCGATGACACAAAAAAAGACCCCCTTCCCTGCGACAGGGAGCCTCAGGGGCCTCGTTATGAATACCAAGTCTCCTCATGCTGCTGAAATGAGAGCCGATGGTTAACAGAAGATGCCATACAAACTGCCGTGAAAACCTTAGGGCCAGCCCTGCCCACAGCCACCGTGATATAAATCAGTCATAAACTAACAAGCTGAAACTGAAGCTCATGTCCAGAAGACTGACACCTGGAGCTCCTCACGCGGGCAGTCTGTGGTGGCACCTGGCAGATTTCTGTATCTACACACTTCCGACGCCAAGCTTGCGCTCATCTGGATTAAGCCCCGTGGTGTGGACAGTGCTTGGCCCAGGGCCAGAGGTCTGGGGTCAAATTCTGACTGTCCAGCTTTTCTCCTCTGTAAAGTGAAGGTCTCTCCTCTCAGCTCTAAGCTTCTAGGATGATCAAATTTAAGATATTGCTGCCAGCTAGGTTGTTTGCAGCCCCAATCCTATGATGAAAGCACTAACGTCATCTTAAGTTTAAAAAGTGACTTCCTGGCATGTGACAGTTGTGCACATGTTCTTGAAGGAGTCTGCTTGTTAAACTAAGTCGGCGACCACAGAGTGAACCCCATTTCTGTGACCGAATAAGAAGGTGAGCGTTGTTCGCCGTGGGCAGTGGGTAGACTAGATGTCACCACGGATGTGAACGTTTCAGAATGCAACAAAGAGGTCCCCCCGGGAAGGGCTTAAGAAGGTTCGCTTCCCAGACAGATCTCAGGTCTGCTCTCAGGGAACCGGCTCAATTAGTGCCCGTGTTAATGAGTTCAGGACTGACCTCATCTGCACGGGGAAGCATTTACACTGTTGCTCCAGGAGGCTGCAGCCACCTCCGAGTGCAGGAGTGGGTGGACGTGCACGGCTAACTGCACCAACAGCCTCAATTAATTCTCGGCTGCCGAGCCCGAGCGGCAGGGAGCAAGCGGGCCCTCGTCTGTGTCTGCAAATCTACAGATTTCTATCGGATTTTCGTTAGAACATAGATGAGAGGAGAGGACAGCTTCTGAAAACCTCATTGGTTTACATGCCTGCTTAGCTGTAATCAGCTGTCATTGAAGGCACAATGCTGAGGGAAATACCCCTTGTTTTGTGTACATAAAAAGGTGACAGTGACACACTGGCTTACTGCCTCCGATTTCAGGCCAAAATTACTACAAGACTTCCTCCTTGTTTTCTTGAAGAGCTGTGCCATAAAGGGTCTCCCCCAGAGCATCTCTTACCCGATGCTCTGGTTCTTAGCAATTCTGATGGTTTACTTGGTTCTCCAATTCCAACGCTGTTCCCAGCAACGACACGGAACTCATAGTCCACCCAAGGGCTCAGGCCGACTGCTGTCGCGTTGTACGTCTTACCACTGAGGATTTCTGGAACTAAAAAGGAGACTCTTCAGGCACCTACACTGGCACTAGGTAAAATCAATCAATCAGTCAAACAAACAGACACATCATATGTTTTAGAAAATTATCCAAAACACTTGTGTTGCTTACCTGTAGAAACAGCCTGCCAACCCACAGAAAATGGCGTCCGAGCCTGAACAGTAAATATTTGAATGGGGCTGTTATTATCCGAGCCTGGTCTCCAGCTTAGCTGCGAAGTGGTACTGGAGATGTGTTCCACTCTGACATCCTCTGGGGGGCCTGGGGGACCTTGAAAAATATGTTTTATGGTGACTATACTGGAAATTATTAAGCTCATTGATTTGGGACAGGGATAGTTTATTTTTTTTCTCCTATGCTAAGAAAATAAAATATTGACCACAATGGATTTTTAGCCCTTCCTTTGAGATAAAGCCCCATTAATTCAGCTTACATGGTGAGAGATTAATTTAGAAATGCTTGCTTTGAAGATTAGGAAATGCCAGTCATGGGATGGTTGAATATCACCCGATAAGCTAATCTCAAAAATTGAGAATCGCTCTTGTCCATTCCCGTCTCAAAAGCTAACTCAAGTAAACGCAACTGATGTGGTGACCACAGGAGCCTAGCCTCTGAGCCTTCAACAAGAATGGTTTATAGAAACACAGGTATGTCTAACTTTTAGGGACGGACACTGCTCGCCGAGTCTGGCCATTCCTTATAAAGAGACAAAACCTACTCAATTCAATATCTATATCCATAGTACCCATACCCTGCAGTCTTGGCGTTTGGGGGGTGGGGAGAGAAAACCATGCTATTTATTTCATTTCTTTATCATGCTGTGGTTACTCAAAGACCTACCATTTACATAGTAACATTTTTGACTGAATAAACAATGTGCTCATTGATTTGCACCTTCTGTGCTTACCTCTAACAATGATATCAGCTACAGCAGATAAACTTTCTAGAGTGGTTTGCACCATGCATAGGTATTTTCCTGAATGATTTAACTGAATATTCCTTATCATCAAATCTCCAACAGATTCCTGCAGATAGGAAGGGGGAAAGGAATAAAAACAGAAATACGCCCAGCAGGTCTCGTTGTTTTTATAGCTGGATAAATATTAAATATGAGACAGCTGTGAAGTTAGCAGATACACTAGTATCATTGTCATTCCTCATATTTGATCCCTTTTATTATACCCTTTATTATAATTGCATCTAGAACACAAGCATTTCCCTGAAAGACATAAAACAAAATAAAACAAAACAAAAACAGATGCAGCTTCATAAACAGTGATTATCCATGCAAATAAATATGGGGCGAATAATTACGAGAGACATTGATTCATGGAAATGACTTGATCCAATTTATTAAGCACTTAAAATCTGCAGCAACTTACTCCTCCGATCCTTTCAAAATGAGCCACTCCCTTTTCTAAGTCTATGATGTGTCCATTGAAAGACCACACAAATGCCACTCCAACGGAGGGATCATGGGACACCTGGCAAGGTAGGACGATACTCTCGCCCACTGTGACGTCCATCTGGGAAGGTGGAACCGTAATAACCGTCCGCTCTGTTGAGAAAGAAGATCATTATTGTCAAAACTTATAAAATGCCAACATATGGCTATCAAATACATATTCTGAATGGCTTTGCAATTGTTTGAAATTATATAAATATAACTTGGAGTTCTGCTGCATTCAATATGAAAAATTCCCTCTCCCTTTTTCAAATATTTGTGCAATAGTCAGTGGAGTTTAATTCTTGTAATGAAACTAAAGACATCGTTTTTTTCTTACTTTATATGAAAGTTAAAAAAAAACACCAACCTGTGGACTTCAAAAGACAGCATTCCATACATAGAAAATGCACCACACTGGTTGTTTGTTTGTTTGTTTGTTTATTCTGAAAGTCCAGCCACATTACAATCCACTCACTGGTTATAGCTCTAAATGGTCTATGATTATTCCATATACTATGACACAAACTATGTCCCTAAGATCATAACTACAATAGTTTTATATAGAGATTTATAATCATAAGTTCACACTTACCAGTGTGAACATGACACATTCTATTTCTGCCATAGTTGTGATAGTAACTTCCCATTTTAGCTAAAGATGCAGCATGACAAGTTTTCCCTTTTTATCCAGATTTCATGTTTGAATTATACATCATAAAAAAAAATTTAAAAAAACTCCCTCTAGAAATATCAGCCAGTGTCAACCCGTCTCCTAGCTTCTCACTGACCAAAGTTTCAAAGGACAGCTCTCCAGAAGTGTTCCATTTGGACTCGAGTCTCATATTTCTCTGATTAAAAGAGACTGATAGTGATAGAGCATTTCTGAGTACATTTTTTATAACAAAGTCAATAGTTTCAATTTGAAGGCTAAGAATTGACCAGAAGGGCAACTCGGTAGTAAAGAAGGACATGCATTTGGATTTACATATGCCCTATCTTACCAACACAAGTATGTTTAAGAGATTTCCATTTAAGAACTAGGGGTTTGGGCAAATTACAGAGAAATAATATTGTACATGAAGAAGTTTTAGAACAGTGAAATGAGGGCCCAGACTATCTTTCTCTAAGGACCACTCGTAAGACAAAGTTTAACCCTCTAGGAGATGGACTGAAAGGCTCACTTTTTTCCGCTTCTCTATGTGGCTCCAGAAACCAAACTGGCGTTGAGGTTGACTTTCTATGTCCAGATGGATTCGTGTGCCACTGTATTTCGTCACTAAACTGCTTAAGTATTCTAACATGTAAAAAATTCCAATTGTTTCCTTAATAAAGATTTGAGAGTGGAAAGTAGGAAGTAGTCATCTTGGGTTTCAAGGTACATACTGATAAAAGAGTCCTGAGAATATAAAAGCACATATTATTATACTTCTTCTAAATATAATGGATAAGATCTAACATTAGATGTATCTGTATGTGTTTACACTTAGAAACACTCTTTCCTTTATTATGATAGATGCATACACATTTTACTCTAATCATTCTTGAGGAAAGGTTTGAGGACTAACTGCGTGGACTAAGTCCATTCTTAATTCCAGGCCTTCTTCACATCTCTCCCCTGAAGTAAAAATAAACAACAAGGGTTTCAAGATCACTTTTTTTTTTAAAGATTTTTATTGGGGAATTGGGGGGATGGGAACAGTGCTGGGGAATTGTGGGAAGGGGCACAGACAAGTTGCTGTCATTTTGTTCTTCAGTCTAGTTGTGGAGGACGTTGCTTCACTGGCCCAAGTTGGCACCATCATTGCGCTCTTCCCGGGTGAGGCACATCAGTCTCTGGCTTCTGGACGGCCATTCACTGCGGCTGGGGGCCGCTCACGCTGGCTGCTGGCTACATACAGTAGCCCATGGCAACCCACTGCCACAGGGGCTGCAACCTACACCGTCGCCAGCGACTCACAGCAGCCCAGCTCCAAGTTGAGCTGTTGTTCAGCATCTTAGCTGTGGAGGGCAGTGTCACTGGCCCTCATATGTGGGATCCGAACCAGGGCCCTCTGGCGTCCCAAGCCAGTTCTTAACCATCGCGCCACTCAGCCGGCCCTCAAGATCACTTTTTAGGAGTAGAGAATATTTTTCTTCTTGTAGTTTCTCTAAAAAATATATATATCACTAATGTCTTGCTTACACTTATGGGAGGATGAGTTGGCTAATTGGATGTGTTGGTAGAGCAAAACTACTCTGATTTAAAGTTTCAGATCATGCAATTAAGGTAATTTTCAAACATTAAAAATGACAGCCACCCCTTCCATTTATGACACCACAAAGTGGCAAAATTAGACAAACCCTTCACTCTATACATAGCTCATTGGTAGTACAGTAATAACTAAAAGTTCATGAATCAGAAACATTTGCATCACAGTTTACAAAGGTTACAGGTTCCCACCAGTTAAATCATTTATTAACTAATATTTATTGAGCACCTACCAAATTTCAGCCATCTGCTAAGTACTAGAAATACAGTGGAAGGAAAAGGTTAAAAACAGCACCAGATAAAAATGACACGGTGCCTGCCTTCACAGAGATTTAAGTCTGAAGAGGGAGACTGACATTCATCAAATCATATTAATGAATATATGGTTTTAAGTGTGGTAAGTGGCATGTTAGAAGCACATGATTCTACTAAAATGGTGAGCCCTGAGGGGTCAGTTTATTGAGCAAGAGTTGTTTCAGCTGAGAGTCAAAGGCACTTAGGCGTTAGCTAGGGAAAGATAATAGGGGAGTAACTAATTCCTATGGGGGCGGGAACATTTACTGAGAACCTGTGTCCAGAGGAAACACGGCTGGTAGGCAGGCAGCCTTATCTTGCTGCCAAGCCTCGCATTAGACGAGAGTAGTTCAGGAGTGAATAGGAAGCCGGGTCTCAGCCACAGTCAACAGGTGAGCCCCAGACGTCGCTGGGGCCAGCACCACCATGCACCGCAGCAGTGTGAAATGAAACTGGGGGCTGTCTTGTGCAAAAACATGTGGGAAACGTCTATTAAAGGCACCAAATAGAAAGCATTTTGCTTTAAAAATATTGTATTACTTATGTAATAGAGTGACAGCATAGACTTCCAAATTGCAAAAAAACATTTTTGGTGTCAACTTTATGTAACACGTTAAAAACTAACGCTTGTGGGGTTAGGCTGTGTTTTAACGAGCTCTACAGGTGATTGTCGTACATACTACGGGCTGAGAAGCGCTGCCCCAGACCGCGCCGAAGGTTCTTTGCATCTTTTCTCGAAGCTCCTGGGGTTTCCGCAGCGTCTCCTTCCCGGATTCTCTTAGGTCAAATCCCTTTTCCATGTGGTTACTTTTCAAATGTTTGAAAACAACAGCAATAATAATAATGTAATAATACTTTATTAAAGGTATATCTTGATGGATCATAAGATTTTTCTCACTTTTTTGCAAATTTATCTATTAGATCATTAGAACTTATGTTTTAGGCATCTTCACTTTCAAGTGATGTGATTGACATCAGTCATTCATGGCAACGAAAAATCACAAATACTTTTTGGTAATTTTTTATTTTTAAAGGACTTTCCTGCTGATGCGACTGTATGGAACTAAGAGTATTTTATAGGTTGCGACAACAATGGAATAGATTTATCATAAATTATTTTGAAATATTAATTTTAGAACCTCTAGAGCTGATGATTCTCATGGAACAACTTTTTCTAAAAAGATTTAACTCTTAATACAACTACGTTTTCTGTACCACGGAATTTAATTTTAAATGTAAATTTAAACAACGGAATTTAATGTTATGCTGCCATATCCTATAACCTGTGGAGGCTGCACAAGAAACTTAAAGTGGCCTCATGATTTGTTATAATCCAAAGTGCCTGTTTATGAAGTCTATTGCCATATCTTCAATGACAAGGAAACGATAATTGGAGCTCCCTATAAAAATAGTGTTTTTTTCCATTGAGTGGAATAATCTTTAAATTTCATTTCTGTGTCTATGCCTGTGGATATTAGCTTTGCAATGTTGCACAAATTCTCAAAACCATGCGTTCTAATCTTTTTGAAGAATTTTAATAACGCCGTGATATGCTTTATTGCAATGTTCGTGTGTCTGCTTTTGTTTTTAATGCTTTCCTGAGGACGTTTACCACTAGCGCACCGACAGTTCCTGTCCTGGCGCCAAGACGGAAGAGTTAATACTAATGCAAACGTCACACAGACAGCCTCTGGGGACAGATGGGCAGGCAGACGTGTCACACTGGGTCCTGGCACTGGCTGCTTGCTGAGTCCCATGTTCTCCTGAAGCCCCTGCTGCCACGCACCAAGTTTCTGTGGCCGCTGCCCCCGTCGTCCGTCCACGGAGGAGCTCAGGCCCTGGTGTGCCCGCCCCCCACCCGCACCCCCCAGGGCCTCTGCCCTCGGGACGGCCATCAGGAATGTGGGCGCACAGGTTCCGACCGTGACGCGTGAACACGGACGGCTCGGTGCGTGGCCCCGCGCCTGCGCGCACGTGGCTGCCCCTGCGGAACCGTGAACACGTGCGGGTGTGCGCGCCGCCACCAGCTGGGTCCCTGCTCGGGTGCACGCCCCACCTGCCCGTTAGGCTGCGCTCACCGAGCACGAGGTCCCCGACGCAATGCCTGCGCGCGTCCACACCGAGGCCGCAGAGTGGGGCCACACACGGGCGTTGCTCGGCACAGGCCCCGTGTGACGGGGGCACACGGACGGAGCCAGCCCTGGGTGCCGTGTCACACGATGTGCTCCTCTTACCGGGGAGCGCTGGGGTATGAGCCAGAACGTTACGGACACATCCAGTGTCTGCAGGGTGAAAAAGTGGTTTATTTAAAAAGAAGTAGCTTCTATGTGGGCAGACTCATCATCCGACAAGAGGGGACTCGTGATCGTCAGTGAAGCCCCGCCGCGTGGGGGAGGGAGCCCGCGGGGAGGCCCTGGCCGCCGGCCCGTCTTCCCGCGCCCCGTGCAGAGCTGCCCGGTTCTCTGCAGGCGCCTCTGGCCAGCGCTGCGAGCGCCCACGACCGTCCCGGGGCGGAGGGGCGCGCTGCCCCGGCCCCGCACCTCGCAGTGCTTGGTGCCGCTCGGAGAAA